GGAAGCAGGAGACCAATGTGTTGGCAGGGCTGGTTCCTTCTGTGGCCTCTCTCTTTGGCTTGCAGATGGCTGCCTTCCCCTCCCCCATCTTCACTTCGTCTTCCCTTTGTGCACGTCTGTGTCCTGATCTCCTCTTCTTATAAGGACACCAGTCCTATTAGATTAGTGCTCACCTTAATGACTTCAGTTAATTTAATTACCTCTTTGAAGGTCCTATCTCCAAAGATAGTCACATTTGGAGATACTAGGGGTTAGGGCTTCAACATATGAGTTTTGGAGGTGACACAATTGAGCATAAAGCACCCCATGCACATAGGCATCTGGCTATCCGCAGAGTGGTTAAACCACTTCCCAAGGTGGCACAGTGATCATTAGGGAGCCAGACTTGACCCCAAGGCCATCTGGCTGCAGAGCCCGAGCCCTGACGCCTCACTGGAAGCCTCGGATGAGGAAGCTCCATGACAGTGCTGACCACCATGAGCTTCTCGCTGAGGGCGGGACTCAGAATGACCACTGAGGAGTGGGCAGAGCCAGGCCCTTGACCTGCAGGACTGCCCCCTTCTGTCCTCATATTGGACACTCTCACAGATGAGGGCTGAGAATTGGGATCCCTCCATGTGACAGATGAGGAAACTGAGGCTTGGAGGGGATAAAGGTCAGGCCCCTTTCATCCAAAGCTGGGGCATTACCCTGATGTCACTTTCTGCTGTCATCTTGCTCCAAATGCCCGGCTCTCAGACCTGGCCTGTGCAGTCAGCACCAGGGATGCCTGGAGCAGGGGCTGTGAGCAGGTCAGGAAGCCCCAGGACCACCCGTGGTGGTTACTTCCTCCGACCTCCTCAGAATCCTGATACCGTCCACTCTGCCATTTCTACCTGGGAGCTCTCCTTCTGGCTGCACAGGGCAATCGGGTTCCTACAAGCCCCTGCCTGTGCTTCCACCATCACACACTGTCCCAACAGGAGCTGGAATGGCTTGGGCTTTCTCTGCCTCCTCAGGTGTTAGAGAAGCTCTCAAGGACAGAGACAAAGTCTGTCACATTGTCCCCTGTGACTCCACTCCCCAGAAAGGAGTAGATGCTCAAGATGCCGTTGTCATGTTCATTCATTCATTAATCACCTCCTCCCTCTTCTGGGGTTGTGGGGACCCTTCCTCATCTTTCACAGATCTAAGTTCCCCTGCAAGTCCCTCTTGAGTCCCACACCTGGCGCAACTGACCTTTCGGGGCATCTAGAAGCTCTGATTGGCCAGACAGTGCCTACTTTTCTGGCGTGAACAATGATGCGAGAGGGACAGGCCACGGACAGGGAACCAGGAGCACTGAGTCGGGTCCTCCTTGTTGTTGTGTGACCCTCATCGGGACCCCATCTGGAAAGTAGAAGTAGTTATTGTCCAAGGGCCATGCCAGCTCCAACAGCCTGTGGGTGTCAAGTTCCTCTTCTGTGGTCAGTCATCTGTCTGACCTCAGCCTGGGCTTCCTGCTGGGGCTTCCTCTCAGTCCTGTGACACCAAGGCCCTGTGGCTCTGACCCCAAAGATGCTGCCGCTGCTGCTGCTGTCCCTGCTGTGGGCAGGTGAGTGTGTCCAGGAGAGAGGGGGTGGGCAGGGAGGGGTCTGTGGCTGACCCTAGTTTCCCTACAGGATCCCAGGCTCAGTATGGGAGATTCCAGCTGCAAGTGGAATCTGTGACAGTGCAGGAGGGCCTGTGCGTCCGAGTGCCCTGCAATGTCTCCTACCCTGCACATGGATACACTGACTCCGACCCAGCTCACGGCTACTGGTTCCGACAATGGGAATATCAGCACCAGCGTACGCTTGTGGCCACAAACAACCCAGATCATGAAGTGCAGGAGGCGACCCAGGGCCGATTCCACCTCCTTGGAGACCCCCGGGTCTACGACTGCTCCCTGGACATCAGAGACGCCAGGAGGAAGGACTCGGGGACATACTTCTTTAGGATAGAGAGAGGGTTTTATGTGAAATATGATTACAGAGAGAACCCACTCTCTATGCGTGTGACAGGTAAGGAATGGGGTCAAGGAGAGGACACATGGATGGGTTCTGAGGGCCGGGAGGGGATCCTCTGCACCTCATATGGCAATAACCATTGCCATATGATGCAGGAGGACAGGACACTGAGGACAGCTGGGGAGGAGATGGCTGGCCTGAGGCAGAGGTTGCTCTTAGGGTCACACTTGGGGTCCCCATATCCAGGGCCCAGGTCTCTGTCTCTCTCCTCAGCTCTGACACAGACACCTGATGTCCACTTCCAGGGGACTCTAGAATCTGGCCACCCCAAGAACATTACCTGTGCAGTGCCATGGGCCTGTGAGAGGGGGACGCCCCCCACCTTCTCCTGGATCGGGGTCGCCCTCAACCCCTGGGGACCCAAGTCTCCCCACTCCTCAGTGCTCACCCTCACCCCGGGGCCCCAGGACCATGGCACCAACCTCACCTGTCAAGTGACCTTCCCCGGAGCTGGCGTGAGCTCTGAGAGGACCATCCAGCTCAATGTGTCCTGTGAGTGCCAGGCCAGGACGGCCAGATCCCTGAGGGCAGTGGGTGTGGGGGAGAGGAAGGGGGTCAGGGCCTGGGGTACTGGGTGCTGGGTCCTGCAAGCTGGTTCTGGGAGGAAGGAAAGAGGACACCCAACTCCACCCCCTCTTATTTCTAAAGTTTCTGGAGAGTAGGGCCAACATCCACGTTCCTGCCACTGAAAAGGTAACAATTATGTCTGTCTGTACAGATGCGCCCCAGAACCTGACCATCAGCGTGTTCCGTAAAGAAGGCACAGGTAGGACGCAGCCACTCCTCTCCCAGAGGTGTGGTGGAAGGGGGGTCTGTCTCCTCCCTTCAGAGCAGAGCTGGGGTTCAGAACTTAGATGGGAGAAAGGCTCAGGTCAGGTGTGGGGACAGCAGACGTGGGAAGTCCCGCACTCGATCATCAGCTTACAAGCTGGCCTTGCCCCACCGCTGAGCCTGCCATAGGGGAGTTTGCATGACCTCTTCCATGTCCAATGGATGTGCTGTCCCCATGCCAGGGACACAGCCTTGTCCCAAATCCTGTCCCGTTATCCTTAGGATGTGGACCCTGCCTACTCCTCCAGCCTCCTTGGATCATTTTAATGTTAGTGTTTAAAGTAGTAAACATAAGACTGCCTTAGTCTGCTTGGGCTGCCATAACAAAATACCACAGACTGGGAGGCTTAAAGAACAGGAATTTATTTCTTGCAGTTCTGGAGGCTGAAAGTCCAAGATCAAGGTGCTAGCCATTCAGTTCCTGGTGAGGGCTCTCTTCCTGGCTTGTAGACTGCCACCTTCTGGCTGTGTCCTCACAGGGCTGAGAAAGAGCCAGCCCTCTGGTGTCTCTTCTTATAAGAGCACCAATGTCATCATGAGAGCCCCACTCTCATGACCTTATCTAACCCTAATCACCTCCCAAAAGCCCACGCAGATACTTTCAAATACCACCACACTGGGGGTTAGGGCTTCAACATATGAATTTGGGGGAAACTCAATTCAGTCCCTAGCCAAATTTAATTAGAATAAAATAGTGTTCAGCATCTTGTATTCCTCCCTCTTGGTTATCTTCCCAAATATAACCTATGAATATATATTTAAAAACACACACATATGTACACATCATACTATACACACTGCTCTGCATCTTTGTGTGTGTGTGTGTGTGTGTGAGAAAGATCAGCCCTGAGCTAACATCTGTGCTAATCCTCCTCCGTTTTGCTGAGGAAGACAGGCTCTGAGCTAACACCTATTGCCAATCTTCCTCCTTTTTTTCCCCAAAGCCCCAGTAGATAGTTGTATGTCATAGTCGCACATCCTTTTAGTTGCTGTATGTGGGACGCGGCCTCAGCATGGCCGGAGAAGTGGTGCGTCGGTGCGCACCCCAGATCCGAACCAGGGCTGCCAGTAGTGGAGCATGCACACTTAACCGCTAAGCCACGGGGCTGGCCTGCTCTGCATCTTTATCATTATTTTTAATTATCTTTTCACATGCAGTAATTTTTGATTTACATAGTACAGAGAGTTTCCATAATCCATCGCTTATCTTCCCTCATCATTAAAATCTTACATCACCTCGGCACATTTGTCAGAACTAAGGAAGTGATATTGGTACATTTCTATGAACTAAACTTGTCTTTTTCTCAGACTTACTCTGTCTTAGGGATCCTTCTGTATCAGTACATAGGAAACCTTCTTCATTCTTAGTGATGACTCCATGGTTTTCCAACTGGAAGTATAGTATACTATAAAGTAATTAATTGGTCCCCCACTGGTGGAAACCTATGATGTTTCCAGTCTTCTTCTCAGAAAAATAATACTGCAGTGAGGAACTTGTACAAACATTCTCCACGTGTGTGCGTGTGTCTGTCAGATAATTTCCTAGAGAAGAAAGTCCTCAATCAAAGGATATGTTGGTAATTTCTACAAATGTTGCCAAATCCCACTGCATGGAGGTGATTCTGTTTACACTCCCACCTGCAACGTGCCTCCTTCCCTGCTGAACATGTTCATCCCTGCTGATCCTAAGTGAATTCACTGTCATGTTAAGTTGCAGTATCATTTTGTGACTAGGCTGAGTATCTTTCATTATGTTTAAGAATTGTTTGTTTTTCTTTGTGGATTTTTTCCTGATGGTTTGAAGAAGCTCTCTTCATATTAAGGACATCAGCTGTGTGTTAGCTGAAAGGATTGATTTCCAGTCTATTGATGGCCTTTTGACATAGCATACAGTGATTTTTCCAGGCAAAAACATGCATTTTTCTTTTGAGTTCATTTAGTGGTGTACCCGTATTGGCTCTCACTGGTTGGCAAGAGCCAATTGTGTCCATCTTTTTCCAACTCTGGGCTCAGTGACTTAAAATTGGGTGCTTGACATTGGCCAAGATGGGAGTTGTCAAGGATATTGGCAAATACTACAAATCAGGGAATTTTTTTTTCTCCCCCAATGAGCTGGTTGTTAAACATTTACTAGTAAACCAATGGTTGAGTAAGTCAATATTTTCTTTGATGCCTCTAACTCTCACCCACTCTACTGTAGTGTTTTAAATCTTCCATAATTTGTCCCAATAGCCTCACATATAAGCATTCACAAACATGCCCATTCACTCAAACTTTACAGAACTATTTGTTTTTCCCTGAGCATGGAGGGTGATTTCACACCTCAGCTATAGTTGCACCTCTTGTACTTTCCTCACATAATGTTCTTCCATTGGCACTACCCTCTAGCCAGCTCCCACCCATTCTCATGCTCTGCTTAAGCCTCTCCTCCTGCAGGAAGCCCTCCCTGTCCTGACAGTCTCAATGCATTACTGTCCTCAGGGCTCCCTCAGCCCAATTTGTCCCCATCACAAAACATGTCATATTGCTCTGTGAGTACCTGCTTTTGGGTGTTTCACCCATGAGACTGTGAGCTCTCAGACACAGCAAAACTAGACAGGTCTTAGTGAACCGTTATTGAAAGACAAAATAGCAAGATTTGTAGAGGCAAATCTGGTATCTGAGTTGGCACAGATGGCCAAGATGGGAGGCGTGGGAACCAACGCAGTTCAAACAAATGCACCCATGAGGACCTCTTGGAAAGGCTGCAGTGCCTGCTCCCAGTCCTGTCCCCTTGAGGCTGAGCCTAGAAGTTATGAGCCCATCAGTCAGTGGAAGAGAAGAAACAGATCTACACAATGAAAGGAAAAGAGAGAGAGACAGAGAGAGAAAGAGATCCTCTATGAGGGTCTGGGCTCAGCTTTCTCTATCTCTCTTAGCTTTCTTGCCAGGACCTGAAGCTCTGGGCAATGGCTCATCTCTTCCAGTCCAGGAGGGCCAGTCCCTGCGCCTGGTCTGTGTGGCCCACAGCAACCCTCCTGCCAGAATGAGTTGGACCCGGGGGAGCCTGCCCCTGAGCCCCTCGCAGCCCTCAAACCCTGGGGTCCTGGAGCTGCCTCAGGTGGAGTTGAGAGACCATGGGAAATACGTCTGCCGAGCTCAGCACCTGTTGGGCTCCCTGGAAGCCTCCCTGAGCCTCTTTGTGACCAGTGAGTAGGACATACCTGGGGAAGGGCGCCTGGGTCCTCAAGAGGAGAGAGGCTCCTCTGATTCCTCTCCTCTCTCCCCACAGAGCCCCCACAGCTGTTCGGTCCCTCCTGCTCCTGGGAGGACAAGGGTCTGCACTGCAGCTGCTCTGCACAAGCCCAGCCAGCCCCCTCCCTGTACTGGCGGCTGAGGGAAGAACTGGTGGAGGGGAACCACAGCAACACCTCCCTCACGGTCACCTCCAGCTCCACGGGCCCTTGGGCCAACAGCTCCCTGATCCTCAGCGGGGGACTCTGCTCCAGCCTCAAGCTCAGCTGTGAGGCCAGAAATGCCCATGGGAACCAGAGCACCACTGTCCTGCTGCTACCAGGTCAGGGCTATGAAGGGTGATGTCCAGGGAAGGGGGATGCAGAAGCATGGATCCTAGAATACATAGAGAGGGAGAGAAACAGGTCTGATTCAGGGTGAAGGGGGACTAGAGTTCAGAGTCCTCTGTCAGTTGGCTGGGGGGACAGGAGGCTGCAATCGTATACAAGAGTGGGGGACAAAGGATCAAGTCCTGGTTAGAAGAGGGCACACACATGGGTCATGGATTCAAGAAAGCTGGATGCCCAGGTGCCTGCTTAGGGGGACTGCAGTTTACCCCAGATCTCTCTTTTCTGCAGGGAGACCAGGACCCAGGACAGGGGCCATTGTGGGGGCCATCGGGGGAGCTGGTGTCACAGCCCTGCTCGCTCTCTGCTTCTGCCTCATCTTCTTCGTGTGAGTGGTGGCCCTGGTGTGGGTACAGGCCTCCAGAGGTGGTGGTATGGGAGGGTGGAGGGATTCAATGAACCTCAAAACTCAAAGCCCAGAGCTGAGGGATCCAGCAAGGTGACAAAGCCAGGGAGGAGTGCCGTTAGTTGAAGCAGCATCAGGAATTTAGCTTTCTGTCCTCTTGGCCAAGTGTACAGTCTGTTCCCCAAACCTGGTTTCAGCTGTCCAGGAGGAGGGAGCATGTGTTCTCATCATGGTCTCTGTAGCAAGATGGCGGCCTACACGCCTTGCCTCAGTCAGCCCCTCTAGGCTCCCAACAGTAAGGCAACCAGGCTGAAGAGTTCTAGTCTCTCTTCTCAGAGTGAAGATCTACAGGAAGAAGTGGGCAGAGAAGGCAGCGAGCAGGGATGGTGTCCATCCTGCATTGAGTACCATTTCCTGGGTGAGTGATGTGGGCATCTCTCTGTCCAGTGTCCCATCTGGATACCTCTCAAGGGGCAGGGCGGGCATTTTGATGGGCAGTTTACTCAGCACATCAAAAATGAGTTCCTCCTCTGCCCCCCAAATTTGTTTCTTCCCCTGGATTTCCTGCTGCACTCAACTCAGAAGCCTGAGAATCACTGTCTCTTCTTTCCTCTCCTTCACCTTCCAGAGCCAATCATTGACTAACTCCTGTCCATTTTCCCTTTTAGCAAAGCCTTTCTCCATTGGGCCCTTTCCTGTTGAGCCATTACTGTCTCTCCTGGGTCACTGACTCCGTCTCTTCTCCCTGAACAAGCTTTTGGCAAGAAATTCCCCAAACAGCTGACGTTCAGTCACCCTCTGCTTACTCCCCACTGCCTAGGTCAGCACAGTCGAACAGAAACATGATGCTAGCCACACATCTAACTTAACACTTAGCCACTTTAAAAAGGTACAAAGAAACATGAGATCAATTTTAATATAACATTTTATTTAACCCAACATATCCAAAATAGGATCACTTCAACAGCATATCATCAATAATCAATATATGGATTATTAATGGGATACTTCACATTCTTTTTGTTACAAAGTCTTTGAAATCCAGTGTTTGTTTTAAACTCACAGCTCATCTCTGGTCTGACTCACCACATTTCATGTGCTCGATAGCCACACGTGACCAGGGGCTACTGTATTGGACAGCGCAGACCAAGAGAACCAAGTCCAGATTCTTCAGTCTGACGTTCTATAGTACGGCCCCTGCCGCGTTCTCCAGCTGGCCTCCTGTCCCTCCACACAAAACGAGCTTATTATATACTGTGATATTGTGACTTATAGTAAGAAATATATATTTGGTCTTTGTGCCCATTCCCGGCATTGAGCTCCTAGATCCCCTGGAATTTCCTGTGATGGGAGGGATAAAGATGTCTTTCGTTATGTTAATGAGGTGACTTTGCCAAAAGCGCCAAAGGAGGGGGGGGTGGGCTGGTTGCCAGGGGAACCAACCACGTGATCACAGGATTGGAACTTTCAGTGTCACCTCCTGACCTCCAGGAAGGGGAGAGGGGCTGGAGGTTGAACCAATCACCAATAGTCAATGTTTTAATCAACCCTACCTATGTAATGAAGCCTCCATAAAACCCAAAAGGACAGGGTTTGTAGAGTTTCTGGGTTGGTGAACAGACGGAGGTCTGTGGAGAGTGGCACAACTGGAGAGCGTGGAAGCTCTGTGTCTCTTCCCCATACCTCGCCTTATGCATCTCTTCCATCTGGCTCTTCCTGGGTTATATCCTTTTATAAAAAACTGGTGATCTAGTAAGTAAAATAGTTCTCTGAGTTCTGTGAGCCGCTCTAGCAAATTAATTGAACCCAAGGAGAGGGTCGCGGGAACCTCTGATCTATAGCCATTTGATCAGAAGCACAGATGACAACCTGGACTTGCAATTGGCGTCTGAAGTTCGTGGAGACAGTTTTGTAGGATTGAGCCCTTACACTGTGGGATCTGATGCTATCTCCAGGCAGAGAATATCCAAATTGAGTTGAATTATAAGGCACCCAGCTGGTGTTGGAGACTTGTTTGTTGGTGTGGAACCCACTTCCAACATTGTAATTGGTTCCAGAATCCTTCTATCTCCAGGCAGGGCTCGCTTTTCTGCTCTTTTGTGCCTTTGTCTGGGTGATTCTCTCTGTCCGTCGCCTTGGCACTGGTCAGACCCCTAACTGTCTTTCATGCTCCCCTGCCCTGTGCCAGACAGAATGTCATCTTGCAACCCTGTGATAATCACGGACCTGTCTCCATCACACTGTGAGCCACTTGAGGGCAGGGGCAGGTCTACTGCAGGCCCCTGTGATCCTCACCCACAGCACCCTGCTTCTGTTCATCAGATCACAATGTGCAATTTGATAAGTCTGTGTGTGTGTGTGTGTGACAATCTGATACTGTCTCCTTGCCCTGATAGACTGTTTGAGGTCGGGGATCTTGTCTGCTGAACAGTCACTTGATCTTGCTCACTCAGTCCGTTTTCATATCTGTAAAATGGGAATAATATTTATACTATCTACGGAGGGAGGTTGTAAGGATTCAGTGAGATCAGTAATGAGAAGTGACTGTTATGATTAAAATTTGTTAAAGGTATGAAGGAATGAATGAATGAGTGAGTGAATGAATGAATGAGTGCGTAAATGAATGAGTGAATCCTCAGGAAATGGGTGTGAAATGGATAAATAAGTCAATTCCCCCTCAAGCCCCAAATTCCCTTTTCCAGACCCCAAAGGCCAGCTCTGATGCCCTTCTCTCATCCCACTCAGGGTCACCTGAATGAATCCAAGTCAGACAGCCCCTCAGACCACCCAACCTCAGCTGCCCCCGCCTCCACCTCAGAGGAGGAGCAGGAACTCCATTACGCCTCCCTCAGTTTCCAGAGGATGACATCACGTGACATTCAGGAGCAGGAGACCACTGAGTACTCAGAAATCAAGGTCCGGAAATGACGACTCTCTCCTCAACCACCCTAAACTGACTGGAGCCCAGAAAAGGCATCTCTGATGAAAATGTGTGTCAGACACCAATCCTTGAAGAGTTGACAGCCCTCTGAGCCAAAGCTTATAAATGGGAATGTGAAGTTCCTGGGAGTGGCTGAAGGTCACAGAGATTCCTGGGTTCAAACCCAGGCTCAGCTACTTACTAAGGGTGTTAGATCAGGCAGTCACTTTACCTCTCTGTGCCTTAGTTTCCTCCTCTGTAAAGTGGGGGATAATATTCATGAGGTACACTGTTAAATGTGAAAAAATGCACCACTGGCATTGTTAAGTACGTCATGTGTTAAATTTCCCTCAGGATGGAGGGAGATGGAGAGCTTGTGGCTCTACCACCTACCTCTATTTTGCTTGACTATTTTTAGGAACATGTATTGTTTTACTTTTTGTTTTTCCTTTTTTTTAGGGGAGGAAACATGTATTATTTTAAAAATTAAATCTATTTCTAAATGTAACTTTCTGGAGGGAGAAGATATTTCTCAATGTATGTATCTAACCAAGGATTTGTCCAGAGTATATAAAGAACATATAAAGATCTTCCACAAATCAATAAGAAAAAGGCAGACAATCCAATAAAAAAATAAGATATTCAAAGAGCCAATAAACACATAGAAAGCTGTTAGAGTTCAGTAGCTGTCAAGGAAATGCAAATAAAAATCACAACGTTGTGCCACTGCACAGCCACCAAGTTGGCTAAAATAAGAAAAATAATATCAAGAATATCAAGTGTTGAGGACATTACCCTAAGTGAAATGAGCAAGTCACAAAAAGACAAATACTGCATGATTCCACTTATATGAGGAATCTAAAGTAACCAAACTCTTAGAAACAGAAGGTAGAGCAGGCTCAGGGGAGGGGGAAACAGGAAGTTGCTATTCAATAGGTATAGAGTTTCAGTTTTGCAAGATGAGAACGTTCTAGAGATCTAATGGACAGCAATGTGTACATCGTTAACACTACTGTACCGAACACTTAAAAATGGTTACAATGGTAAATTTTATGTTATTTTTTCTCCATGCTACATAAAAGTAATATATAGTGGACACCAGGGGCTGGGCATTGGGGGAGTGAGTTGGGAGTTAGTATTTATTGGGCACAGAATTTCAATTTAGAATGATGAAAAAGTTCTAGAGATAGATGGTGGTGATGGTTGTACAATGCGAATGTACTTAATGCCACCGAATTGCACATTTAAAAAAGTGATTAAAACTGTAAATTTTTGTCATGTATACTTTATCACAATAAAAAAATTTCTTAAAGAATATCAAGTGTTGATGAAGATGTGGAGCAACTGGAACTCTCATGGCTGAAAAATGGGACCAGACCAAATGCCCATCAACAGTAAGACAGATAAATTGATTGCACAGTGTTAGTGCAGTGGAAGAAGCAAATAATAACTCCATGCAACATCTATGAATCTTACATACATAATGTTGAGTGAAAGAACCCAGACACAAAGAGTGCATACTATGTGATATCCTTGATGTAAGGTTTAGAAACAGACAAAACTGGGCCGGCCCTGTGGCTTAGCGGTTAAGTGCTCACGCTCTGCTACTGGCGACCCGGGTTTGGATCCTGGGCGCACACCGAAGCACCGCTTCTCTGGCCATGCTGAGGCTGCGTCCCACATACACCAACTAGAAGGATGTGCAACTATGACGTGCAACTATCTGCTGGGGCTTTGTGGGGGGGGAGGAAAGGAGGAGGATTGGCAATAGATGTTAGCTCAGAGCTGGTCTTCCTCAGCAAAAAGAGGAGGATTAGCATGGATGTTAGCTCAGGATGTGAGGCTGATCTTCCTCACAAAAATAAATAAATAAATAAATAAAAATAAATAAATAAATAAAATTACTCTAAAAAAAAAAAAAGAAACAGGCAAAACTAACCTTTGGTATTAGAAGTCTGGATACTGGTTACCCCTGGGTGGTAGTGACTGGAAGGGGCCAGTAGGGACCTCCTGGGGGTTCCAGTAAGGATCTGTTTCTTGATCTGGACATTAATTGCTCAGATGTAGTCACTCTATGAAACGTTTTTGAGTAAAACACTTGTGATTTCTGCCTTTTTCTATATGAATATTACTCTTTA